ACGACAACAGGATCACCTGTTGTATCGCCTCAGCGAGCTCTACCAGCACCGACATCACGTACTACGCGCAGCAAACACATGGTATCCTTATTACCGATCGCACAGACACCGGAAGCACTATTAGACGATGAAAGTATGGATCATCCCCTTGTACGAACAGAAGTACCTCATGGCACCAAGAGAGTAATTCGAGGCATTCTCAAACACCAAGCATCACGAACACAACCGCAAGTCGCAACCGCACTACCGCTCACATCACAACCTGACAAATCGGAATTGAACTTGGAGAGGGACCTATCTCGTATCATGGAAGAGAGTAACGCTACTCATGATGAGCCCGAGCGACGTTCACGATCACACTAACCAAGACGACAACCAACGACATCAGACACAACGCCCGTTCCAATGCAAGTAGATCAGCAGCAAACATCAGCTTCAAGGACAACCATCACTACAGTACCACAGTCAGCAGTCAGCTCAGGCACAATCATCAAACGAGATCGTGCAAGCAATCCAGCACTGGACGATAGCATCATTGATCTGGGACATCAGCGCAAAAGTGTGAAGTCAACTACTGAAGTATCCTCAGCGAGACTACCGATTGCAGACTCAGTTGATCAGCCAGCCGCACCCCCTGTATTACCACCAGTGGGAGCACCGCAGCATCCACGAGGTGCAGAACCTGCAATTTCGGCTCAAATTCCGCGCGATGGCGAGGAGAACGATTCGAATGTCAATGACGATTCCGACCTGACTCGCGCCCTGCAGGACATATTGGATCAGGATGACGTTCAGGAACCTCAGGAGGAGCAGGAGGAGATCCTACCTATTGGAGATACTGAGGAACTTTTCGTTCAATGTTTGGCCCATGCAGCCGAGCGTTCTGTAATATTGCCATCATACAAGCTCTGTTCACTCTACATGGACAGCACCAGATCCGAGACGTACGATGCAGAGACAACGATCAACGACAGCACCCACTTTCATGCTTCTACGATGCCGTGGTCTGTGACAGAGGCCCAGTGCATCGTCAGTGCTAACTCATCCAATCACCCATCTCGATGTTTCCATGTGGATTTGATGAGTCACGAGTTCGTGGAGATCTACGCATCGCAAGGTGAGGCTCTCACTCAGGAACATGAGTTTGAGCTATTGTGGCCTCAAATAGAAGCAGCAGATGCGAATGACATCGCCAACTACGTGAAGCACGACTGCTTCAGACCGAAGCTCAAGTCGAAGGTCAACGCTGCCAACTTCATTGACGCAACTTGGGTACGTAGATGGATGTGGAAAGAAGGCTGGGTTCTTCGTTCGCGGCTTTGTGGTCGAGGATTCCTAGACAATCAGAAATGGGGAGTGGATCGTCACTCTTCTACAGCAGCCAGAGTATCTCAGAGAATGATGGTCTCAACTTGTCAAAGTGAACCCGATTTCGAACTTGAATCCTGGGATATTTCCTCGGCGTTCCTACAGGGACTTCGATTTCAAGAACTGGCTGCACGTGCCCGCGAGCTTGGTTTGGATATTCGGGAACATCGTGAGGTCTACATTGCACCGCCAGCGAACGTATGGAGACATCTCAAGAAGTTATCACCATTGTTTGCAGACATCCCAGACGATCAGCTTCATTTGTATGTACTCGAATGCATCAAACCTGTACCTGGACTGATTGACGCACCGCTGCTATGGCAGGCAGCGCTGACGCTACATATCAAGGATAACATGAGCGGCAAGAGAGCACTACTTGATGATAACTGCTTCTCATGGTACGATGATCGTTCGCAATTGGCTTTAGTTACCACGGTGCATGTTGATGACCTATCTCCGACGGGAAGGAGAGATTGGCTTGATTGGGCGCATGCATTGCTGGAGAAGAAGTTCGGCAAGATTACCCGGAAGAGCATGCCCTTCACACATCTTGGCATTGAGTATTTTCGACTGCGGGGCGGGGCAGTTTTTCTCAGTCAGGATTCCTATCTCGATACCATCGTAGCACCAACATTGGATAAGGAAAGAAGCAATCAGGACACTCTGCCATGCACGCCGCAAGAACATCATGAATATCGCTCTCTTTGCTGTCAGCTACTACATCTTCTTCAGACACGATGGGATCTCAGTGCAGCGACAACTCAATTGCAGACGAAACAGACGGCCCCGACAATTGGTGACTTCAAGCAACTACGACAGGTGCTTGATCGAGCGCGCAAGCATCGCAACAACAACGGCTTATACTACCGGAAACTTCAAGGACCCTTCCGACTGGTCAGTATCAACGATGCAGCTCATGCTACTAAGAACACATCATATGCACACGAGGCCCAAGGTTTATTTCTGATGGAAGATTGGCCAGTACGACATGATACGTATGGAGTGGTTGATGTTTCGAGCTACCCCCAGATTTTCGGACCTGCGCATCCTCTCATTGGACAGAGCAAGAAGTCTAAGAGAGTATCCTACTCGACAAGTCATGCAGAGACGGTTGCTGCAGTTGGAGGCTCGCAAAATGCACAGTACACGGCACTGCGGTTTACAGAACTATTGGCACTACCACTGGTTGAGACTCAAGGAAAGTCAGCACTTCAAGGTCTCATGAAAATGCAGGATGAGGGTCGAGCAATAATACCTATTGACATCGTCACGGACTGCTACGACCTCTAACAATTGACAACGGGCTTGAAAGGCATCCCAGTGGACAAGACACAGAGACTGTCGATCTTATGACTTCGAGAGGATCGACTATCAGGACGTATACGACGGATATATCATTGGCCTACGGAAGTCATGATCATGGACGCCCTCACGAAGCAGGGCATGTTTCCACAGATGCAGGATTATCTTCAGAGTGGTCTCATCAGGTATCAGGGCCTGCTGAAGACAAAGAACGGCGTGCCGAACATCATCAGCATGCGAGAGATTGAGAAGCGTACATACTTCGACGAGAATGATCTCGTGAACCTGAAGGCCTAGTGCCGCCGTCGCCGCCTCTGTAGCCTAGAAGCGTAGAATCAGAGTGAGGTTGTTTGTATCCCTGTTAGGCTTCAGAATGCTTTGTAGGCCCCTTTGTTGCCGCGCTGGATTCACCTCCACATTATAAAACTGTTGCTATGATTTTATGCCCGTGAATCGACGTTCGGGCTCAAGGCTACCAAAAGCAGCTCGCTGGAGGAGGAGGAGGAGGGGGGAGGGAGGAGGAAGAGGAGGGGGAAAAAGGAGGAGGAGGAGGAGACGAGCGTAGGAAGAGGAGGAGGAGGAGGAGGAGGAGGAGGATCAGGAGGAGGAGGAGGAGGAAGAGGAGGAGGAGGAGGAGGAAGGAGGAGGAGGAGGAAGGAGGAGGAGGAGGAGGGAGAGGATCGAGAGGGAGGAGGAGGATGAGGAGGAGGAGGTGGAGGATGAGAAGGAGGAGGATCGAGAAGGAGGAGGAGGAGGAAGATCGAGGCAACAAACCCCTCCGCGAACCCCACCGTGCGCTTGACTGCGGCAGCGCGGGAACAGATCGAATGGTGGATTCGCGCTCTGGATTTCACTCCAGAGCGCCCTCTGCATTGCGCCGAAGAGCATCTGTCCCTCTGGGGTCCGAAGTCACCCGAATTCGCCAATTGGCGTGCCCTTGCGGCGGCCGGATGCGTCCGGGTCGTCGAGACGGACGCATCCAAACTCCACCCGTGGTCGTTCAATCTATGTAGCGAGGGAAGAGTCGTTTCGGGCATCTGGTCTCTTGGCTTCGACTCCATTGCCCAGAACGCGGGGGCCATCAATTGCAAAGAATTGTGGGTCGTCGTAGAATCATTGCGTGGAGAGGCGGATTGGCTCCGCGGCTGGAGAGTAGTCGTCCGCACGGACAACAAAGCCGCCCTGCGTTGCATCAACTTCCGGCACGGGCAAATACGCAGCCTTTGCGACTTGGCGGAAGAATTAGAGCTCGCCGAGAGCGCCGCCGGGTGCTGGGCGCTAGCACTTTTCGGGATCTGCGAACGTCATCAGTGACGCAGGTTCACGCGACTCTTCCTTCGCAGCCCTGTGGGACCAGGATCCCTACAGGGATGCCGCATTTAAGCGTTGCATTATGCGGCCCCTACAAAGTAAATGGGGCCCCTTTGATTGTGATCTCTTCTCGGATCGTGACGGCCACTTGTCCTTGGCCATGCTGTGGTATCACCCCGAGAGCTCCGCTTTCGAAGCAAGCATCTTGGGCAACCGTGCATGGGCTTTCCCGCCCAAGGCTCTCGTTGGACAAACCTTGAATTTCTTGCGTGGCAAAGTCCGTGCAAGGGTCTGTCTGGAAGACTTTATCCTCGTAGCAGAGGACCCCGGCGCACCGTGGTATCGCGCGAACTCTCTGCGGGGCTGAAGGCGCCAGGAACGGTGGCCAGCAGGTTCCGACCTCTTCCGAACGCGTTCCGCCGAAAGCGACTGGCGTCGGTGCCCTGCCACAGGCTCTCAGTTTCTGTTACTGTCGCTGGCCGCGAGTTAAAACCATGTAACATCATTATTTGTCGCCCTTCCCCTTCCCTCTTCGGCCTTCCCTCGCCCTCGCCCTCCCTCTTCTCTCTTCTCTCCCCGGCGTCCTCGGAGGAGTTGGAGGGGGCGCGCGTGCCGCGAATGGGCCCGTGGCGAATGTGGCGCTGAAAGCACAGCTGTCTCTTGGGCCCGGCACGCAAATCGGCAGGTGGCGCGACGCAGCAGTCTCGAGGGCCCGGCGCACAGCTCCCGTCAAGCAGTCACACCATGCTGGTGCCCAGCGAAGATAACCGCGCTCAGGAGAAAGGACATTGAGGAATATGCTCCCACTCCCTCCTTCCCCCCCCTCATCGTTGCCCCCTCCTCTCCCTCCCCCTGCTCGCCCCCCCCCCCCCCCCCCCCTTTCGCCATATTATTGTTACCGTTGATTATTCGTGCTCGCCGCGTCTGCAGCGTGAGGTCTCGAGCACGCTTCTGCGAAGCATTTCTGGCAACGATCCTGTCCAGTCTTTTCGTCGACTGCGCGAAGCGGGCCCCTTGCAATGGGCCCAGCCGCTGCGACGACGCGTCTCGCTGCAGGGCTTGCCGAGAACGGTCCTTTGCAAGATGTGTTCCACGAGGCCGTTTCTCGTGCTCTGGGCGCCGACTTGGCTTCGACCACTGGAGTCATCCGGCAGGCCCTGGACCCGTCAGAGAGACCGCCGACTCGACTTTGGCAGAGCTGGCCGTCTTCCGTTCGCAGCTGGACACTCGATTCCAAGCTCTGCAGACGCGTGTCGGGGAGCTTGAGCAGATCGATGTGCAGTTGGACGCCGCTTTCCCCTGGGGGAAGACAGAGCGCGAGACGGATCCGGCTGAGTGGGCTGCGGGGTGGCGCCGCATTGGGGTCGACTCCGACTGGCTCAGTAACGCAGCCGAGAACATGCAGGACCCGTCCGTCGCCAATTCGACGGCGGCGATAATGGCTAACCCCAACCGCCCGGGCGCTGAGAGGCAGAAGCAAGCAGTTGCTCTCAAAAGCGCTCCCAAAAAGGGTTGGAAGAACCTCTGCTTGGCTCCGTTTGGGGGCAGCCCAGAGCTTCTGCATAACTTCCTGTCCACGAAGGCGACTGGCGGAGACAAGACGGCTTCTGCCGTCGCTCTGAAATGCCTCAGCTATTTCCTCATCATGGAAAAAACAGTTCACCAACATTGGCACGGCCACGGCGAACTCTGCCAGCAAGATCAAAGCACAGCGTCTGGAAATGATGCCTGCCATCTTCGCTGGCATCAAGTCCATGAAGAGAAGGGCAAAGAAGGCATCAGCTCGCAAGCCGCTGGAGATTGCCTTCATGCAGAGGGACTTCTACCTCGACTGGCAGCTCAGCCTGACGCACCTCGCGGCCACCCCGTTCGCGTTCACAACTGGGCCGGACCAGGCGACCCAGTTCCCGGCCAAGCGTCTCTGGACAGATTCTGGCGACCCGGCGCCTTCGAGGCTCCCCTCGGGTTTTCCTGGCGGCGGGGCACCAACTCAGGGCGCCAACAGCCTGCCGCCGGCGCCCCCGGCTCCCGTTCAAGTTCCGGTGCCGCAGCAGACCCGCCTGGCCGGCGGCTCAGCCAGAGGAGGCGACAAGAAGGCCACCGCCGGTGCAATCCTGAACGACCTGAACAACATGGTCGGTCGCCAGCAGCCGGCGGCCATCGAGGCCTACGTGGGCCAGAAGTTCCGGAGCACGCCGGCAGAGGTGGCTGGCATTCGTAGCGTCCTGAGCAATTATTGCCACCACTGCATCCTGAACAGCCGCCGGGTGGTCAAGCACTCGCGCGGGCAGTGCCGCGCGGAGGGAGGCAAGCCGAGCTCGCCGTGCGCGCGGTGCGGCTCGCGCGGGATCATGGCCTACTGCTGGCCTGAGGATTGCCCCGGCGCGCGCTGTGCGTCGCAATGA